ATTCTTTAAGATACTTATTATATATAAAGTTAATTTAAATAATTTTAATCTTATTTAATTATTATCTTAATTAATATATATATTATATTATTATAATAATATATAATTTATTATTATAATATTATAATAGAAATAAATAAAGATAAGATAGTAGATATAAAGAAGAATTAGATATTTACTTATAATAGTATTAATCTTAGTATTGTTATTAAAAAGAATAAAAGTTAGATTAAAAGTAAGACTTTTATATTTACTAGCGCGACTTTTATAATTATAATAATAGAATTATTATAATTATTAAAGTAATAATTATAATAATAGCGTATAATAATAATAATAATAATAGTATATTATAATAGAATAGTAATATATTTATATTCTATTAATTAAGATAATAATATATATAGCGATATTATCGCGATTTAGTATATAAATATATTAATATATTTAAAGAGATCTTAGAGTAAGAAGTTTAAATATACTATTATAATATATATTAGTTTAGATTATATTTAAACTAATAATAAGTAATATATAAGAGATTAATAAGTTTATAAGTATTTAATTATAAGATATAATAATAATAAGATTTAGAAATTAAATCTTCTAAGAGAAGATATAGTTATAAGAGTAAAAGTACTCGAAGTAAATTAATAGACTCGCTTATATTACTTATTAGGCTATAAGCTATATAACTAAAATAAGTATTTAATATACTTAATAAAGTTTTAAATATTTACAAATTTTCTTTTTTCTTCTTTTTTCTTTAGTTATTAGTTTATCTAGTAATTAATCTATTTATTCTATTAATTATATATCTAGACCTCGTAATTATATAGCTACTACGTAGTTTTATTAAAAGAGACCTTACTATCTCATATAAAGGATTAAAAGTAAAGTAAGAGATTTTAGTAATTACGAATACTAATTTATTTACTCGCGATAACTTAGTCGATCTACTTAAAAGACGTAATAAACTCGAATTTATAATTAACTATATATATAAATTTAAGATTTTTAAGCTTAGCTCTATCTTATTCTTTTATATATATTAATATTAAGATATAATTATCGAAGTTTATAACGCTATTATATAAGTTAATTATTATTATCTTAATTTTAAAAATTCTTAAAGCTATTAAAATCGTATTTCATATTCTTTAAGAATTTTTTTCGAATTTTTTATTATAATATTATAGAATAATAAATTATAAAGATTAAGTTTTAGAGATTATAAATTCTAATAGATTATAAATTCTAGTAAATACGAGTATCTCTAATCGTATAATTCTTAAGAATAAAAAAAAAATTCTATAGCTCTAATATATTCTAAAATTAAAAAAATTTAATTTTTAATTTTTCTATATAGATTTATAATTATAATTAAATATAATTTAGAAAATTATTAAAATTTAATAAATATAATATAAATTAGAGTATAAAATTCTTAAAAGATTTAAATTATTCGTTATATTATAAAATAGAATAATAGCGAATTTTATAAAGTACTCTTAATAGCTTTAGAATAGTCGAGGTAAAAAAAAATTAATATTTATTTAGATAATTTTTTAATATAATATTAAATTAATATTTTAATATTTTACTTACGTTATATAAATTAAAATTTTTAAATACTTTAATAATAAATAGTTAGATATACGCTACGTAATAAAACGAGATAGAATAAGATTTTGAATATTTAATATTATCTCGCTTCGAGTCGAGATTTTAACGAGATAAGATAAGATTAAGATAAGATTTTTCTATCGAAATAATAAGAGTATCTTCTATCTCGCTAAGTCTATTAATTAAATTAACTCGAGATTATTATCTCTATAACGTCTTTATAATATTTCTTTAATATCTTATAAATATAATCTTATATATATTCTAAGTATCTTTTTAAGTATTTATATCTTATACTCTAATTTAAACTACGATATTATATTTTATACTCTATTTTATTCTATTTCTATTATTAAAAAGCTTGCTTTCTTATTACTTAAGACTAAAATTATAAAATATTCGATAACTATAAATTTAAAGTTAATCAATTAGATCTTCAGATTCCGTACTTTTAAAGCTAAAACTCATCTTATTTCTTCATTTCTAAGCTAAAAGCGGGTACACACGGGTACGTTCAAAAGAGAAAGTATTATAAGGCTGAACCTCGAATATTAACTTTATTAATTTATTCTATTTAATTCCTTTAACGTTATGTAATAAATGATAATAAAGTAAATTTATAGAGTTATAGAGTTAATTATACGCTTTCAAATAAAGTAGCGAAGACGAAATTTGATAAAGTATTCGTAAAGATATACTAAAAACTAAGATTTTTATTCAAATTATCGAGCTTGCGAGTCGGAGAGCCCTCGGAGAGCCCCCGGAGGGTAAGGGGGGTTTCAGGGAGTCTCCCCCTGAGTATATCAAATAAATTACAACGTCTCTCTCGATTCTCAGGGTTAGATCCTCTAAAATTCCTTAAACTCTTCGAAGCTCTTTAAGGGCTCTCCGAGAGCTTCTGTCGAGGGGCTGTCAAAGCAAGCTTGAAATCAATCAAATATCACTAAAATAATCAAATTTTGAGCTTGCTTTGACAGCCCCACGACAGAAGCTCTCGGAGAGCCCTTAAAGAGCCCCCGAAGGGTCCGAGGGGTTTTAGGGGATCTCCCTGAGAATCAAAAATAGTTAAAAACCAGTACTTGGCAAGCTTTTCACTACTGGGAAGCCCGCGCCCCAGCACATATTATAATATCAAAATTTAGAGAGATCGCTTAGGGGTATTTAGGGTCTATCGAGTCAACGGGGTATATCTCGAAATCTCGGCTCCGGGTCGAGGCGAGGTCGGGGTTTCGAGCTTCCTCGAAACCCCACCCCGACCTCGACCCCTTCGGAACCCCGTCGGGGTCCCCCGCCCCGTTGCGCAGCGTACTTAGATATATAAAGTATATATTTTATAATTTCTAGATTATAATTAATTATAATTATAAATCTATATAAGAATAATTAAGATTTTAATTTTTAATTTTAAGATATATTAGAATTACATTTTTTTTTAATTCTTAATAATTATATAATTAGAGATAGTAAAAAGCTTATCGATATCGTAAGAAGACTAAAGTACTTATTCTTCTATATAATTTATTACTAAATTACTCTAATTCTTTAAAGACTCTTAGAGAGCTCTTTAAGAATTACTATTAAACGAACTATCGAAGTAAGCTCGAAGTATAAATAAGAGCTTCGAGTTTACTTCGATAATCTATTCGATAATAATTCTTAAAGAGCTCTCTAAGAGTTCTCGAATAACTAGAGAAAGATTCTCTAAAAATTCTCTAATCCTTTAAGAGCTCTTCGAGAACTCTTCGAAGACTTTTATCGAAGAAGCTCTTCTTATAGACTCGATAATTTAACTAAAAATCTTAGTTTTTAATATATCTTTACGAATACTTTATTATATTTTATCTATATTATACTATTTAAAAGCGTATAATTAATTCTATAACTCTATAAACTTACTTTATTATTATATCTTTATTCTTTAATAAAGAATAAATTAAAAAAGATAGATTTTAAGATTTTAAAGTTCTTTTTTAACTTTCTCTTTTAAATATATCTACGTTTAAATTAAAAATAAAGAGTTAAGATATATTTTAGATTAGAAATCGTAAAATTCGATAATTTAATTAGTTACTAGTCTTTTAACGTAATACTTATTCTTATTTTTAAATTTTAAGTATTAAGAAAGTAAGCTTTTTAAATAAATACTAGAGCGTAAGCTTTTTAATAGTAGAAAGTTTATAAATATCGTAGAAAGATAACTTATAATATAATATTATATTATATATATTACTAAATTACTTTAATTCTTCGAAGATTTAAATATTCTTTAAAAGCTTTCTAAGAATTATTACTTACTAAATTATAAAAGTAAGCTCGAAGTATTATAAATAAAAGCTTTAAGTTTATTTTAATAATCTATCTAATAATAATCTCTAAAAAGCTTTTAGAAAGTCTTTAAATAATTAAAGTAATTGAAAATATTTAAGTAATTCTTAAAGAGAGACTCTTTAAACTTCTCTTTCTTCGTAAACTCTTCGAAAGCTTTTCGAAAGCTTTTATTAAAGGAGCTCTTCTCGTAAACTCGATAGTTTATATAAATCTTATTTTATAATAAATCTTAATAAATACTTTATTAAATTTCATCTATATTATATTATTTTAAAGCGTATAGTTATCTTTATAACTTTATAAATTTATTTTATTATTATATTATAGATAGTATAAAAGAAATTAAAGAAGATAGATTTATAATTTATAAAGTTTTTTTAAACTTTCTCTTTAGAATATATTCGTCTATATCTATATTTTATAAAAGAAAGAAAGAATTTAAATAAGTTTTAGCGTTTAAATAGCGAAAGCTAGAATCTAATTAATTAATCTTAAATTTATAATCATCGAATATTTTATAATTTTAATTTTAAGTAATAAAAAATAAACTTTTCAATTATAACTTCACAACTATAGATCGAATTGAAATGATTCCAGCGACATTAGAACCGTGAGAATATCTGATAGAAATCTTATATACGAAACACTTATTTTTGAGTTACTATTTGGCCCGCCTAGCTTAAAATCCGAAGCTTTTAGCTACAAGTTCGTGACTCCATAAAATTACTCGTTTTCGTATAGGTTTTTGATACTTAGCAGCGTTGGGATCGCAGCAATAAGACGCATAATTTACAGCCAGAAACCTATACAATCCTGGTGATCTGACCTATAGGCGTAAAATTGACAATTTGAATCAATCATGTTGCGCGACAGGTCTCAACGCCAAGAAATCTGAAGGATTCTAAACGGGCCCGCGAAGCATGTCTTGCCCTACCCGCATAGAGCTCCAAACCTTGCCTCATGTAAAATATTCGTTGAGACTCCGAATATATGAGAGCTGAGGGCAACGTGCGAATTAGTGGAATCAAATACGCTAGGTCCGCAGGATGGTTGGAAAGAGGTCTGGAAAGGCACTCCTTCGGGAGGAAGGCAAGTGTCACCCTCACAATCTTGTACACCTAGACTTTGCATGAGAGCTGACGTTACGCTTCCTGGTAGGCCTTGAGAGGACTGACAACAATATGGATCTGACTACATGGCCCCAAATCAACCCAATCAATCAGAAGAACTACTACACGTACGTTTTGACTCTAATGGCAGAAGTATAAGGTCTGAGACGCTGTTCACAATGTCTTTAAGGACTATATATCTCGATTATCAGGCATTCTGGGAAGAGTGGTGTTCTGGCTTCATTACAGCACTGATTGTCCCACTTCCAGTGACTACCTCAAACGAGATGATCAGATTCTTCCTCTACGCCTTCTACAGGAAGAGCGCCGAAATAGAATGACCGCCAAAGCCAGAGACAGAGACCGAGAGCTTGCTCAAGCTAATCCGAATGATGCACTACCTAGCGGCGCGGATCTGGACATGGACGACGATGCCGGCATGGAGGATGCTGGAGAGCCGCTGACAGGCCAAGATGCTCTGGGATCGAAAGTAATCGTGATTCACCCCGGGAGCCAGAATCTGCGCATCGGCTTGGCAAGCGACGCTTTGCCCAAAACGGTGCCCATGGTCATCGCAAGGAGATGGGAGATGAGCGAGTCCGAGGAAGATGGTGGTGAGCCAAGTCCAAAACGCAGGAGGACGGACGACGGCTCTCAAATGGAGCCAGAAAAAACGTTTGGCGAAGAGGCAAGTGCGCGAATCCGCTACGAGAATTCTTCCACTGACTCGAGCGTAGTTTGCAGGCCAATATAACAAGATGTGCGCTGATCTAAAGATCCACATGCGCAGTAACAAGCGTAGGGTCTTACCCAATTCGAAGGAATTGATTGTCAATTATAACAAACGGACACCTCCGGAGACCATATCAGAGCACAACGATCCTTTTAGAGTAGACTGGACTGAGATTCCTGCCGACCCGAAAGAAGCCCCAGGATTTCTTACTGGGAAAGAGGCACTTAGGATCCCAGATAAGTCAATTCCACGTTACAAGCTCTTTTGGCCACTGCGGTATGGCTGGTACAACGAGTCGGAGTATCGTGAGAAGAAAGATCTGTACAACGACATTGCGACAATTATTGAAGAGGCGATCAAGACGCAGTTGAATCTCCGGCGCAAAAGAGACTGGGTGCAGTATGGATGTGTCTTCGTTGTTCCTGACCTGTATGAAAGACACTACGTTTCTCAGACGCTAGAGATGCTGATGAGAGACCTGGGCTTCGGTAAGGTCTGCTTCATTCAGGAAAGTCTGGCTGCAACTTGTGGTGCAGGCTATACGACTGCCTGCGTTATGGATGTAGGAGCTCAGAAGACTTCCATATGCTGTGTCGAAGAGGGGATGTGCATTGAGAATTCTCGAATCAATTTGAAATGTGGTGGTGCAGATGTCACGGAGACCTTCATCAGAATGATGCTGTATGATCACTTCCCGTATGCGGACATCAACTTGAAGCGCCGGTATGATTTTCTGCTTGCAGAAGAACTCAAATATAAGTTTTGTACCATGAATGAAGGAGAAATAAGCCCCCAGCTTTTCGACTTCCACCTGAGAGCATCTGGGCAAGACACTAGGAAGTACACCTTCAAGACATACGATGAGGTATTACTGGCGCCTCAGGGCTACTATCAACCAACGATCTTTGACAATTCTCAGAAGCTCAAGGGTCGACGGAAGCTCATTGACCGATCTTACGACCTCTATGAGGGTGGGCCTAATGATCCCGTGTCTTCTGCGCAGTCTGCTGTATTGTCACTTATAAGTCCAATCGTGTCAGTCAACGGCCAAACGAATGGCGAGACGAGCAATGGGCAGGTAGCCCTAGGTCCAATAAAACCTTCATCAAACCTGTTTCAGAAGATCAACGAGACCGAGCGCACCCCAGCCTCAACAGTAGGATCTCCTGCGCCGGATGACGACGATACCCCAGTACCAATTGGTGAGACCAACACTGGAACGGAGATCCTTGCAACCTCAGTTCGAGACGATGTGCTTCCGGTGATTGCTCTCGATACCGCTATACTGACTTCCATCGGCCACGGAGCACGACTCGATGAGCGCAAGACTAGGGATTTCCTCAGTAGTGTCATGGTCGTTGGCGGAGGAGCTCAGATCCCAGGCTTCTACATGTTCTTGGAGGAGAGGTTGAAAGAACTGAGGCCAGGATTTGCGAAGGACATCGTGATCGGAACACCACCTAGGGAGCTGGATCCACAAGGTGTGATTTGGAAAGGCGGAAGCGTGTTTGGGAAGCTAAGGGGGACAAATGACAGCTGGATAGGTAAGACGGAGTACGACCGTTTGGGTGCCAGGCTGCTGGTTTACAAGTGTATGTGGGCCTGGTAGATGGGCCTGGTAGATCACGAGTACGACGTGATAGGAATAATGTAGAGGTTAGACCCCTCGCCAGACCTCAAGAGTGTTGCATCTTCTCCAACAATACGCCAAGTAGCTTTTACGATCACTACGGCTGTAACAGAGGCCTCATATCAGTGTCACATATGGTGATTATTAGCAAAATTTCTCTCACCTCCAATCAAACTCTCATAGAAAGCCCAGGGAGACCGAGGGACTGAGGTGTGCCAAGACCGGAAAGGGTTAAATGATTATCCGAACTCTTCTGGGGAACTTCAGGAATAGTGTTGCTGAGTGTTTGCTTGCCAACAGATCCCAATTCTTTGAAGACTTTGTCTGTGGCAGATCAGGCATGACCGCAAATTGGTTATTCCAGAGCCGTACAAGTACCAGAAAGCTGAGCAGTTAAAGTAAAGCCCAAGAAAGTTACGTCTCCACCCAGGACATTGGCAACACTTCTGTCGACCGCGAAATCGAGGACCTAGAGAGGAATCATTGATCCAGTGGAATCAGTTACTGCTGTTGATATAGCGTCTTTCAGCCGAGATAAAGAAGAAAAGAGCTCAAGCTTAAGCTAGCATTGATTTCTTTGACAATTCGAATTTGAGCCCTGAGTTCGCCCGTGATTGTCTCTAAGAAGTCGAAATCGAAATGTCAACTCCCCAGGCACGACCTTCTGAGCGCGGCTACCATCAGGATTACATCGCGCGCATCCGTTACGAGAATGCTCTTCCTCCGCCTCCAGGAGCTCCAAAGCTCTTGAACATTCCTGCGGAAGGTTTGAAATACTACACTTCTGCCGCCTTTTCGTCCCGCTTGGCAAGACAGCAGCCTTTGAACATCGAGTCAGATGCTGAGCTTGGTATGCCAATCGATCTCGTGGGGATGCCGGGTATATTCGATGGCGATGAGAGCTGTAAGTCGGATCTCATAAAGCTACTTGTTCGTTGACCAGGGTTGACCTGTTGTACGCAGCTATACAAGCTCCTCTGGCGACGCCTCCTGTTCATCCAAGAGATAAAAACTTATTGCGTCCTTTGGCCGAGCTCGGCAAGCCCGCGTTTAACCCAGCTGGATACAGCTTCTTGCGTAGGACTGAATATATCTCATCTGATGCAAAGGCACGAGCTGAAGCCAACGCGAACGCGGTCAAAAATACTGGCAAGCAGCCTCCTGCCTCGAAGATTCGAAAGCCCATAGACGCGTCAAAGGAAGATCCCGTGAACATTCTGCGTTCTACCGTTAAAGGTTTCGACCTCGCCAATCCTGAAGACGCATATACTGGTCCTGACACAATCATCAATATTCGTGGTGCTGTGCCAACACCTGCAGAAATAGATGCGTGGAAGCGTCCAAAGCATCCTTCAAAGCCGGATGTCAAGCTACTCGATGCGTACCCACTAAAGCCCGATCCCGACGCTGTCACAGACTCAGGGTCTTACATGATAACCAAATTTGCTGGAAATCCTACTCCAGTCACTGAAGCTCGCGACATCCGTATGGACGTCGGGATATTGTACCCGCGGGAGCTGGCTCCAGAAACATACAATTACGAATTTTTCATACCTGACAATGAAGTTGCAACTAAAAATGTTATGAGGAAGGTTGATGTTAACGACGATGCCTGCGATGATCCGGGATTGTACACCGACAAAGCTCCTGATGGTTCCGGCGTGTTCAAATTTGATTTCCTGCGTACTTACGAGCCTGGACGTGGATCTACTCGGGGATATCAGCAATACCGAGAAGTTGCACTGGCCCTCCATGACCCAGAGCTCGATCGACAGACAGCAGGCACGGAATTTACAGCGCGCGGCAACGGCATCCACCGACTTGATAAAGGAGCATACTATTATCCTATCCTCAGTAAGATGCAGCTAAAGCCTCGTCGCAACAAAAACTTAGTTCAACTCGGATTGGCAAGTCAGGCAACGGACGACGAAGTCCAGAAGTTTGACGGAATACGTTTGACCGTGAGAGAGCCAGACGAGGGTGAGAGGGCTAAGCGTGCAACACATCGCGAACATGTGGAACCAGATGATGAGAGTGACCTAGATGGAGATCCTTGACTGACTGCAACGGGGTGTAATGATCGAAACTTCTCCTCCTTTTGTCATATCATTCCCGCAAGCACCCTTGAAGATTGCATTGTCCACGGAGTCAGTCAATACCCAAATAGCAAATTGAATTGTGTTCGTGAGAAAATTACAACATAGAGCTTACCTAGAATTGGAGACGATGCAAATGTCACATGCACAATTTTCTGGCAGTATGCGGTTTGGCCGGCTTTCCTCGAAGTGTTTGGTTAGGAGTACTCGAGCCTTGTAGACCGCAGACTCGCTAAATCCTAAGCTGCCACATTTCACCCATCCTCAGCAACATCCACTCCTTTGTTTTTCAAGGTGAGTCGTCGCTCGTGAAGACTGTTGCGATTCGATGAAGTCGCCTAACATGGCACATCATAGGGCGTGTTCTTCTGAGCGCCTCGGCTGCCCAAAACCTAGCTCAAACACGTCTAGACCTCTAGTGTCACCAGCGTGCTCTACCTTCGCAGACTACTTCTATGCGCGATCACTCACCAAGGTCTTGCAACCTAACATTTTCGTATGAGGCTAGCAATGGCCGATGATGAACTCTCTCCTCATGACGGAAGTCCCAACAGCGGACAACAGCTGGACCCGAATCTATTCAATCACCCCAATACCCCAAATCAGAACCCGATCCCAGAAGGCCAAGATCAGATACTCTTGCCAACGAGATCGCTCAATGATCTGCTCCATCCGCCACGTGACTTGGCCTTGATGCGGGAGCGCCTATTCGAAGTTAAAGACAAGATCGAGCTTCAAGTTGATGAGTTCGAGCGCTATTGGCCATACGTCGATAATGTGTGGGTCAGGCAACACAAGGCCGGTACGGACAAAACGGGCAGAGTCTTTACCGATTACTACGCATGCCGATTGCAGAGGCCGACCTACACCCCAAAAGCCGTGGACACGCCCAGACGAGAGGGTCAGCCAACTCGCAAAAAGCAAATCAGAGAAGGCGGGACATGTCAAATGCGGCTCAAAACCATACGATACGAGGGAGGCTACTCTGGTTACACCATCCTTAAAGTTGGCGATGAGACTCAGCACACGCACGATCTCGATCACATTGACAAGATCAAAAGGACGAGCGTCTTGATGGAGGTCGCCAGATCTGAGGTCATGAAAGGTTACATGCCAGCATCTGTGTTCACGGTCATGAATGAGGACACGGAAAAGCTTACAGCAGCTGGAGGGCGATATTTGAACCGCAATGATGTTCGCAATGCATCACAGCATTGGCGGCAAATACATAGAGAAGAACTCCGTGTGCATGAAGGCTATAAATACGACCATGGCAATGGCATCGTTCGACACGATGGCGTGAGCTCCACTGCCAAAATCAATGGGGATTCACAGATGGTCGACCCTGCCCTCAGCGATATCACACCTTTGCCGCCCGGCACGCTTCGATTCCCAAGTGCATCCCGTGCGTTTCTCGAGCCATACCTACCACCAAAGGAGCCGACTATCAACGCAAGTGGCCTTCCTCACGTTACTTTGACCTACGCTACATCTATGGATTCATCTTTGGCTCTTGCTCCCGGGATGCAGACATTGATCTCCGGTCCAGAGTCCAAGGCCATGACGCATTACCTCCGTTCGAAGCACGACGCCATTGTGATCGGGGTCGGCACAGCCACTGTTGACGACCCGGCTCTGAATTGCAGATTGGAGGGCGTCGGTGGATTTGGTGGGCTTGGATGGGAAGGACAACCTCGACCAGTCATCATTGACCCTGGAGCGAGATGGATGATAACGCCGCAGTCAAAGGTGCTGCAGGCTGTCCAAAGCGGCAAAGGAAGAGGACCTTGGGTTATCATGGCGCCTGGGTTTGCGATGGACCCAATGCGGCTCGAATTGCTCAAGTACTATGGTGGCAAGTATCTGGGACTTACTGAATTCGATAAGAAATGGAGATTACGATGGGAGGCCATACTCAAGGCATTGGCAGCTGAGGGTATTAAGAGCGTGATGATCGAAGGGGGAAGCATGGTTATCAATGACCTACTCCAGTTGGAGAACTCACATTTCATCAGTTCGGTTGTCACCACGATCGCACCGACGTACCTTGGACGGGGAGGTGTGGGGGTCAGTCCTGCGCCAAGGCACGATCCAACAGGTAGACCTCAGCCGGCCGTCAGATTCGAAGACGTCAGATGGCAACCGTTGGGCGTTGATGTGGTGATGTGCGGTCGACCACGCTGTTGAATGCTTGCATGACCTATAAGGAATTCTCGTAATTGGCAGTTGGGAAGCAGGATCTCAGCCATCAAGCGGGCGCTAAGTATGGCACCGCTGGACTGTGATCAATAGCCTCAGACACCAATTGGCTAGTCCATGGATTTGTCCCAAAACACGGCATAGACATGCGGCCTCAGTACCCTCGTCAAAAAGGAGCAGTATCAGGGCATGTCGGTGGAAAAGCAATAGCTTCTTTGAACCATGCTCGACGAAGACCATGCTGCGCTCGGAAACTTACGGGGCTCTTTGCTGTTGCAGCCCTTCTGTTTGTCTGCACCATGTATTATCAGATTCATAGGTCTTGCTAAATCTTCAAAAGATGGAAACATTGGCGGTCTCAACCTCCGGCCTGGGACCAATTATCATGGGGCTGAGATATCAACTCATTCTTCATGAAATTACTAGATCTACCATCCCTTTGCATTTGGGTTAACAGTACGATTTTCCCCCATCTGTGTTGGCTGCGTCGAGTAGAAGAGGGTTGCTATTGCCCCTGAAAGCTGAACCGGCTCCACTGTTGAACACCACAGGCAGTAAACTTCTCTGTCACTGATCTATGCGGAATGGTCTCTTCGAGTTAAAGCATCGCCATCCGTCTTTTCAATATACACATCCAAGGTTGGTATACTCAGTTTCCGTTGCAGCTCGTTCGTCAACGAAACAACATAAGTTAGGATATGCATAGTGAGATTGCTGTGACCCTCACTCTTTTAGACAGTTGTGCTTATATTTTATATCATGCAGTAATAAACAGTAAACGATGCAATTTGGTTCAATCGTTGCGTAAGCAATTGTTTGGATTTATTTTGATTTGTTGATGGATCTTTTTTTCCGGAGGATTCCACAGGGTAGATGACATTAACAGTAACGCTCGCTCGGCTGGTCTTGCCTGAGTTCTCCTCAAAGTAAGCGACCTGCTGCTGCTGCTCCATCTAATGAGTAGAGAGTCACGGTGATCACATGGGAGTCTAGGCGTGGGTGACAAGGTGTAGAAGAATCGCTTGCATATTGGAAATGAAAAGATACATAGCAAGGCAATCACGACAGTCAGATATCTGATGTCACTTTGGTGGTGAAAATTGGAAATTCTCGCATATTTTATATTTACCTCGAACAGTAGTTACATATACATCAATTAGCCATGCCAAGCCGAGAGATAGGTAACGTACCCCTCGACTTTCGACTCAAGCATGCCGCACGCCATATGCTAACTGGTAGAACGGTAGAAGACCACACACGGCATCGGCATCTGTGAGTGAGCAAAAAGCTACGAATAGCCCGACTGCCATATGAATCCAGTGCTCTGTAAGGTATCACGACACCGCCACTTCACCAACTTTTGCCAACCGCCTTCAAGCATCATCAACCACCACCACTTCTGTCGGTATGGTTGCCAACGACAAGCCCGCAGGTACCCTCCGATATGAGGAAAAGCCTGTCTATACAACCTCCAACGGCTGCCCTGTTAACGGTTCGTACATTTCCAAGTGGTTCTTCACTCGTCCCTACCAACGTCTGATTTGCTGGACCTTTATCGAGGATAGAAGGCCTTTTTGCTTCCCTGGATCTGGCCTTCATCAACGGTTTCTGGCCCTTAAGAAGCAATGCTGAAACCTCCAATCTGCGCAGATCCTGAGAGTTCCCAGAGAGTTGGGCAAAATGGCCCTCTTTTGCTGCAAGACTTCCATTTGATTGACCTGCTGGCCCATTTCGACCGCGAACGTATACCAGAGCGTGTCGTTCATGCAAAGGGCGCAGGTGCTTATGGTGAGTTCGAAGTAACCCATGATATCAGTGATCTAGTAAGCATGTGCGAAGGACAAGGCAAACTTCAATGCTGAAATATTTGCTAGACTTCACTGGACATGCTCAATGACGTCGGAAAAAAGACCAAATGCGTCGCTCGCTTTTCGACCGTTGGTGGAGAAAAGGGTTCGCCTGATTCGGCACGAGATCCTCGGGGCTTCTCTGTCAAGTTCTATACCGAGGAGGGTAACTGGGACTGGGTTTTCAACAATACCCCCATTTTCTTCCTACGTGATCCCTCGAAATTTCCCATTTTCATCCATACCCAAAAGCGAAATCCACAGACGAATCTGAAAGATGCAACAATGTGAGTGGAATATACTTCTGAGATCGTCCACGTATTCATACTCTTCAGGTTCTGGGACTACCTCTCCACTCACCAAGAGTCCGCCCACCAGGTCATGCATCTCTTCTCCGACCGTGGCACTCCATACTCATACCGCCACATGAACGGTTATTCAGGTCACACCTACAAACTAACCAAGCCTGACGGCACATTCAACTACGTCCAAATTCACTGCAAGACCGACCTTGGCAGCAAGACCTTTACCAATGCTGAAGCGGGCAACATGGCTGCGGAAAATCCTGATTGGCACACACAAGACCTCTTTAACTCCATCCAAGACAGCGATTACCCAAGCTGGACCTGCTATCTCCAGGTCCTCAGCCCTGAACAAGCGGAGAATTTCCGGTGGAACATCTTCGATTTGACCAAGGTTTGGCCGCAAAAAGATGTTCCACTAAGGCCCTTTGGTCGATTCACCCTCAACAGAAATCCAGAGAATTACTTCGCGGAGATCGAGCAGGTGGCATTTTCCCCTAGCCATATGGTTCCTGGCGTCGAACCTTCTGCAGACCCCGTCCTACAATCGCGCCTTTTCTCATATCCAGACACCCACCGCCATCGCCTCGGCGTGAACTATCAGCAAATCCCCGTCAACCAACCTCTCCGTGCATTCAATCCCTATCAGCGTGACGGCATAATGGCAGTCAACGGCAACTACGGCGCTAACCCCAATTACCCATCCACCTACCGAAACATGACATACAAACCGGTGAAGCCTAGCCAAGAGCACGAGAAGTGGGCGGGTGCGGCAGTAGCCCAACAGCTCCCGGTCACTGAAGAGGACTTTGTGCAGCCAGCAATGCTTTGGGAGGTGCTTGGGAAACAAGAAGGCCAGCAAGACAACTTCATTGGCAATGTTGCCGGGCATCTAAGCGCGGCGAAGCCAGCCGTCCGGCAAAGGACTTATGAAATGTTCACCAAAATAAACAAGGTCCTCGGCAAAAGGATCGAGGAAGCTACTGACCCATTATCACGGCATCCACAGAGCCAGGCTGCTGGCAATGCCCAAGCGAGACTGTAGATGTGAGGATGGCATCCCATTTGCTTGGGTATGGGTGTTGCCCAGAAGATTGGCAAGTTATTTTCGAACCATGAGACTGTCTTTCTCTATTCCCTTTTGGTTTGTGTCTGTCAATGAACTTGGTGCTTGGATTTTGATCACGCACGAGCATCGGAAGAGTGAATGTACCGAATGCTTGGTAAGTTATGTGGCATCAAAGCCGACCAGCGCTCGATATGTTGCTCGTTCCTCTGGCTTATGTCAAAGGACTTGTGGATTTAACCTCGCGATTCCGGATGTGGAATGAAGTTGGTACGGGCTGAGAGTAAAGGGATACGAGTCATTTCCCTACCTTTCCAGAGCGTTACGGTGCCAACCTTGACCACCTCTGTTTACTGCATTCCTACATCAGCGTGAAACAATTTGGCGAAAGTGCAACGTTCAGAAAGCGTTTCATTGACACTTTCGATCGCGGTAGACGTGTCGCAACGCCGATATGAATCGCATAAATCCATCATTAGGCTCCATTTTATCTCACCAATTTCCAGCGTCCACTGAATGGGCTTGGGCATGTAGATACATCATCTTCTGTTCTGCCTACCACACATTCGTCCCTCCATCCGTGAGCGCTTTTCCATCTTGCCGTCCGAGCCTCGACGATGACCTTTATATCTCGATATTAACGCAAATGTACCATCTTTGTCAGTCACGCAAATTTGAGTCAATGCCCAGTTCGTTGGTTGTATTTGGCCTTGCCGAAAGTGAAGGGGACGTAGCGGTATTTGATCATATGCTGGATTTGCCTCCGCACTACAGGCAATCGAGCTTTAGCCTTGCCCAAACACATGGAGAATGGCGGCAGCACTTACTCGTCAAGCTAAATAGAATAATGAAGTAAACCACAAGGACGGGCCAAAAGACCGGCACATTGAACACGCCCCACCAAGTGCAGAAGAATGCAATCGCAATCGCCCTTGTGCTGCTGTGCCAAAATTTGAATTCTGGCAGCCGCCTTATGAAGGGGCGGAACTCTTCGTCTTGTTTTGTGGGTAGGGTGGGTTGAGAGGCGTCTCCGTCTTCGAGGCCTTCGTCTTGTGTCAGGGACGGGTCGAATTTGGGTTGGAGAAAGGCGAGGAAGAGGTTTAGGAGGTAGATGCCCAGCGAGTAGCAGACTGAGGGAAAGGACTTAGCATGGGAGCCAAAAAATAGGCGTGTCAGTGTGGCTCCAAGGAAACTTACCAATGTACCAGCCTTGGGCCATGAGGATACGGACGAAGAAAAGAGCAAGAAGAACACCAGTTCCAATCCATCTATAAGCGGTGTAGGGCGTACATTTATCGAGATAGGATTGGTAGATCTGGTGGAGCGCGCACAATCAGCATCTTTAGATCATGAAGCGACATGTAACCTGGCATACTCTTCCTAGTTTTGAAGTTTGCGCGCTGACTGCAGCGAAAGGAGTCTCGTTAGGCTCTGAATCCATGTTTGGCTCCTTTGTGGCGCCAGCGCCGGGTTGAGGTTCGGGGTTCGTTCAATGTGTTTTGGTATGTTCCTATCCACCTTTGAATGTGCCGTGACGAACAATTGTTGTGGTTGCGATAGAAAAGAGCGAGCAACGTTTCGCCTTGGCGAAACTAGAGGACAGCCAGATCGATAGATCGGAATTGATGATCGCCTAGGCCTAATTGGGGTAAATCAATCTATTTCATATCTCTCGAGGCTCTCTACGAGTACTTCATGGCTTCCAGATATTTGGTAAGGCCCCTGTGTGCCTTCAAATACATTACCTCTTCCTTGCCCCGAGTCGTTCGGCCTTATTCTCAACCTGTGACCAAGAAATATGAAAACATACTGGTCGAACTACCCAAGCCGGGCGTGGGTCTGAGTATGCCTATGCTTATGCCCATGCCTTTTACTCGTTTTAACTGATCAAGCTTCTTGCTGACGTATCAGTGGTCTATTAGTCACCCTTAATCGTCCAAGAGCCCTCAATGCCCTGTCGACGGCGTTATTCGTCGAATTGAACGATGCACTACAGAACTTCGACAATGACGACAGCACCAATGCCATTGTACTTACAGGCAGCGAGAAAGCTTTTGCTGGTATAACAATTCCAACGATTATAAAATGCCGGAGATGCACTTGCTGACTCGCCTAATCAACATAGCTGGTGCCGACATCAAAGAAATGAAGGATCTCTCGTTCAGCAAAGCCTACAACACAAATTTCATTGCCTCCTGGTCCTCTACGATTCCCAATATCCGCAAACCAATCATTGCTGCGGTCAATGGTCACGCTCTCGGGGGCGGCTGTGAGCTTGCGTTGATGGCCGACATACTTTACTGCTCCTCCTCAGCGACGTTCGGCCAGCCGGAGATCAAGCTGGGGATCATCCCTGGCGCTGGCGGTAGTCAGAGGCTTACAGCATTGATTGGGAAGAGTCGCGCTATGGAATTGATCCTCACGGGAAAGAACTTTAGTGGTATAGAAGCAGGGCAGTGGGGTGTCGCGGCCCGGGTGTTTGACAGCGCGGAGGACTGCGTGCAAGGAGCGCTGGAGACAGCAGGCAAAATAGCGGGAATGTCAAAAATATCGGTACGGGCGGCGAAGGAGGTGGTCAACAAAAGTCAAGACACGAGCTTGAGAGAGGGTCTCGACTACGAGAGAAAGGTGTTTCATGGCTTGTTTGGAAGCCAGGATCAAAAGATAGGTGAGGTATTGTCATTGGAAAGCTTTTTTCATGCATTTCATATACTGATCTCGCCACGTAGGGATGTCCGCTTTCATAGAAAAGAAGAAACCGGGTTGGTCAAACGAATGACAATGTAAAGATAACTCGAACGGCTTTCAAACTGCTGCTTAAGTGACACGGCGTAAAACCAAAGCTCACAAAATGGTCCCGCAAATGTATATCGAATCCTTGAGGTTTCCTGAATTGTCATGCCGTCGTCCTACGCTATGTTGGAGGCCGTAGTGAAGTTGAACAAAAACAGCGAACTAAATGTCCTTCACCATCGTCCTGGATTGGTTTCTCTTCTATCAGAAGAGACCAGGGTTAATGTCTCATTTATCATGCAATCTTCATGGGCCCAAGCCAGTCACTTGTCACCACAAAGCAACGTAAATTGCTGGTTCTGAGGTGGCTCGACTGGGGGCACAGCGAGTCCGAAATACATCAAATACTCAAAAGTCTTCCCTTGTGCAGAGATGAGACTTTGAGACCAATTCCCTCCAGAATCTCGAACGTTGGGGAAGTGTAACCTCAAGCCAACGAAGCCACACAGGGTGCCCCCTGGCGAGTCTTGTTCGAGGTAAGTTTCATGGGTCAACAGCAGCACTCTTGTTCTGTAAGGGACAATGAGATCACGAATGTGAGATTGTAGTCATAAATTGAAGACTCTTGAACCTTTCGAAACGTAGTGTCGAATAGACTGAGCTTCCTCAGGAGTCTTGGGATTGCGAGCTTTTTGAAGCCTCTGATGAAACTCATGTGCACACTTGACAGGACTTTGGCACGCGTACGGCGGACGAAGGCTGACACTACGACAAAACCAAATCATAAAAATATGTGCTAGGGCGCGGGCTTCCCAGTAGTGAAAAGCTTGCCGAGTACTGGTTTTTAACTATATTTAATTCTTAGAGAGACTCTCTAAAACTCCTTGGGCTCTTCGAAGACTCTTTAAAGACTTTTCGAAGGTTTATATCGAAGAGACTATTAAAGTAAGCTTAAAATTTAATTATTATAAAAATATTTAATTAATTTTAAGCTTACTTTAGAATTCTTTTAGATATAAATTTTTAAAGGCTTTTAAAGAGCTTTAAAAGATTTAAGAGATTTTAAAAGATTTAATTTTAAGAATTAAGAGAGAAGTTATAATATATTAAGAAGGAAATTCTCTAAAATTCTTTTAATTCTTTAAAGACTCTTTAAAAGCTTTTTAAGAACTTTTCTCGAAAAGACTTTTCTTATAAACTCGATAATTTAAATAAAAATCTTAGTTTTTAATATATATTTATATAATTATAATTAAATTTCTCTTATATTATATTATTTAAAAGTATATAATTAAATCTATAACTTTATAAACTTATTTTATTATTATTAATATATATAATAAGATAAGATAAAGCTAAGTTAAAAAATCTTAAATTTATATATATAGTTAATTATAAATTAGAGTTCGCTACGCTTTTTAATTAGACATTACGAGTAAATAAATTAGCATTCGTAATTATTAAAATCTCTTTCTCTACTTTTAATCGTTTAATAACTTTACTATCTTCTATTAAAATTTAATAATTTTATTATTATTATAGATTATAATTTACGCTTTTCGAGGATAAAAAAGCTTAAAACTTAATCTTATAATTCTTTAAAGGTAAGGAGTTTAAATATCGCTTATTAAAGATCGCTTATTAAAGATCGCTTATTAAATTTACTTAATAGTTCTAATTTAAAAAAATAGACTATAAATTTAATTTATAGATCTACTCGTCTATTATATAATATTATAAGAATTAGATAAAATATATTAATAAACAACTTAATATTTAACGCTAATTTTATAATATTTTCTCTTTAAAATATACTTATATATAATTTAAAGATAAAGAAATAAGATATATTTTAAATTAAAAATCGTAGAATTTAATAATATAATTAGTCTTTAATCTTCTAGCGTAAAATCTATCTAGATATTTAAGTCTTAAATATTAAGAAAGTAAGTCTTTTAACTATTTTTTAATTTTAGAGATATATAGTAATTAATATTTAATCTTTATAAGTAAGAAGATAATATTAATAAGATAATTTTAATATTATTATTATTTATTAGAAGTAATAGTTTAATTAATATAATATAACTTAATTAATTATATTAATAAAGAATCTATTAAAATATTAGATATATAATATATAGAATAGATAAATTACTTCTTTAAAATCTCTTCGAGATTAGATTTTAAGTATAGTATAAAATTAGATAACTAAGAAATACGATAACTAAGATACGTACGAATTAAATTTCGATAGAATCTACTTAATAAGCAAGTATTTTCTTATCAAGAATTGAGTCTTAGTTTTTAATCTTATTTAATAAAAGCTTTAACTTTCTCTAATATTAATATATTATATAATAATCTAGAATAAATAACTATTTAATCGATTAAATATAATACGCTTATTTATATATTAGAATTAATATAGATATAATATTAATATAAGTAAGATAGAATAGAATAATAAGACTATTAAGTTATATAAATAAAAAGAAAATATAATATAGTAGAAGATATTATTACGAGCGTACTCTTAATACACCTCTCAGCCCTATAACTAGCGAGTCTTGGCGGAGATATTTTCTATTATATTATACCTTCTTTTTATCTATATAATTCGATATCTTAGTTATTTTATTTAATATATTTATATTTATATTATATCTATATTAATTCTAATACTATAACTAAGATTAACTTACTTATTTTATTTATATTAGCGAATAAATTTAAAAAAACGCGCTAGTAAGAGCTTTAATAAGAAATTAAGTTAAGTTATTATATTTCTAAATAAATCTATTAGATAGATAAATTAATTTTAAAGAGCTTAAAAGAGATAGCGAAATAATTTCGATAAATAATAGTCGAGGAATAAAGAAGATATTAAATTATTTATATAACTAGCGAATTAAAAGAAATAGTCAATATTATCTTATATTTTTATATTTAAAATATATATTAGTAGTATTACTTATAACTTTATATACTATAATATCTAGAGTTTTAATAAAATCTTAATTAGATAAAAAACGATCGAGCTATAGTTAATTAAAGATATTATTCTTCAAAATTTTCTTATATATAACTTCTCTATAAGATAAGAAACTCTCTAAGCGAAGTAAATATACTCGAAAAATTACTATTTAAAGTATTTATAATCTTCTTAACATTTTAAATAATTAAGAAATAAATATATTAAACCTTCGTAAAAAAATAACCTTATTTTAAACTTTATAGTAAAAATTTTTTTTTCTTAATATCGAATAATTTCGATACGTCTTAAAGAGGCTTTATTATTCTCTAATATATCTAATATTCTCAACACTTATTCTTTTAAAATATTTAAACTTCTCTTTACTTTATTTTAAATCTTTCTTTCTTCTTTTCTATAGTAAAGTTTAATATCGAAAGAATAAATTAAATTAAGACTTTATTAGAGTAAATTAAGTTTTAATAGATATTAATTCTATTAGATAATATCTCTAACGAGATAAACTCGATAAATATATCTTAAGATATCGCTAATACTCTATAATTACAATATTAGATTAAGTATTAATTTAATAAATTTATAATTATACTAAATAAGATTCGTTAAAAGCGAAATAATTTTCGAAAGATTATTATTTAATATTATATCGTTATAATAAAAAAGAATTTAGTTATAAATAATTTATTTTAGATTTATAAAATAATCGAGAAGATAAATTAACTAGCTTAAGACTTTTTATTAGAAACTTAATAATGTATATAATAACTCTATATTATAGTATAAAGAGAATACTATCTATATAGAATTATTATAAATATAAGCTTTATAGTAAGATAGAAAGGTCGAAAGACCTTAATATGCTAAGTTTAATTAAGCTATAATATAAGTAAAATCGTAAGATCGTTAGAATTATAATATTACCTCTCTCTTTAATTTAAAGTTTCGATAATAACTACTATATAGTAGATATTAATCTTATAAAAAGTATATCTAGATATATATAAAATAATATTCTTAGATATATTAATTTAATATTTTATAATAAATTTAAGATCTTCTTATAAGTTAATATAGTTATTATAAATTAGTAGCGCTAATAGAGAAGATTATTTCGAAGGTTTTTTGAATAATAAATAAGAGTTAACGGCCTCGAAGTGATAATAGTAAAAGTCTATTATTAGATTCGGATATTCTACTATATTTATGAATAGTTATTAAAATAAATTTTTCTCGATCTTAGAGTCTCTATATCTAATTTTATATATTAGATATCCCCTCTTATTAATTAAGAAATTATTTTTTTATTTATCTAATTTAAATTAAACTATTTTTTTAATATTATAAATTTTATCTTCTTTATTAATATTAATAGAAGATATTAAAAACTTAATTTATTTTAATAATAGATTATTATTATTAAGATATAGTAGTTATAAATAAAAGATAGAGTAAATATTATTTATAAAAGTAGAAAGTTCTAACTCGTAAACGAAATTATTTAAAGCTTTAATAATTTTAAATAATTCGAAATTCTTATAATTTAGTAATTTATTAGAGTATATAATTTTAATATTTCTTCTATTAAGTATAATTATATTTTTAAAATTAAATTTTAATATCGAGAGTTAATAATAATTAGCTTACTTTTTCTATAAAGCTTATAATTATTCGAATTAACTTCTTAAATAATTTCTTATAATATTTATCTTCTCGATAAATCTATTAACTAATTTAATATCTCTCTTTACTCTTTAATTAGTAAATTAATCTTAAGAAATAAAGAATTCTATTTTTAAGCGAGAAATATATTCTTTAATAAGAAGAAATAATAATATACTCGATAAGGCGTTCTTATTAAAGTTAATTTCGAACTTTACTATTAATAATAGATTTATCTAGTTATCTTAATTATAATTAATATAAACTTTAAAATATTACTTTAGAGTAACATTAATATTCTTTATTTATTTATTAATTTCGAGATAAAATATAATAGAAAGTTTAAATTTAATCTTAATCCTTTTATATAGTCTTCTTTAGAAATATATTATAAATTAAATATCTCGATTTAAAATAATAATAAATAAATATTCTTTCTCTCGCTATATAAATTCGATAAAGATTTAAACTATTATTTTTACTTTTAAGAAGTTTAAGAGAATAAATTTCTTCTTCTTATTAAGTTTATTTATAATTATTATAATATATTAATAGAAGCGTTTATATTTAAAGTAGATAGATAATAATATAATAAAGTTAATAAAAATATCTTATTAATATTATTTAGAAATAAATAGAGATTTAAGAATATCTTATTTACTCTTTCTATAAGTTTTAAATCTCTTATAAATATAATAACTCTTAATATAGCGGATAATAAAATTTGTTATTCTTAGTTAATAGTAATATCTACTTAATTTATTATAGATTAATAATTTATTAGCGTAGCCTTCGAGTAAAGAGTTATAAATATCTTTAATAATCTTAATTTATAATTTAAGAATATCTAATATATATTGTCAGGACCAGCATAGGTGCGATACCAGTATGGGTGAGGTAGAACTAGGATAATAAGGCTACCGAACTATGTATGTGGGAAGGAGGCATGATATGGTAGGGGATGCCTCCGCCAAGGCCCGCTAGCCATAGGGCTGAGTGGTGTGTCAAGGGTACGCTCGTAACACTACCCCCCCCTCTCAAATAGCCATGGCCCCCATGGCTGGTAGACCGGAGATGCAGGCCCATTGCTTGCCTTGTATCTCCAAACATCCATAGTCGGTGTAGGCCTTGGCTGGAGATGATTGAGATCCCGGAGATGTAGCCACATCTTGTATCGGCAAGATTCTCCAAGTTCTTCTCCCGTCCAGCCTGCCTGCCGTAGGCCTTCGAAAGAAGTGAATAATTCTATCGCATGCATATGTTTTGTGCTCGCTGAAAATCCATAAAAACAAAGAACTTTTGGTGTTAGTATGCCAGGCCAAATTAGTACCTTTCTCCGGCGGCGGCGGCGACAGCAATATCGCGTCCCGGAGATTCCGCTAGCGCGTCGTCTTGCACTTTATTGTAGCGTCAAGGGGCTTCCAATTTGACGAGGATCCATGAAGAATTGAATGGATAATGACCGAAAAATGATTTGCCATGCGGTGGCCACCTGATTCCATATTTATGATGGAGAAGAAACCGATGAAATGATGCAATTTGATTGGTTGAGGCCTCCCGAACCGAACCGAGCCGCAGGCGCTAAAACTCTAATCCAATATCAAGTGAGTTTCTCCATGGGATGCCGTATAACCGATACCGATGGAGGCTACCGACGGCGACAGTGAGGTCCATAGGTGACGCACTATGGCTTCGGAAGCCCTTCAGGCATATGACAACAAGGGGAGCCTGCTTGGTGGGCCTGACATGAGGCTATTGGTGAGCAACATGGGCCTGGGGAATCGGTTTCCCAATGTGAAAAAAGGAGGCCATTCTGACATCGGATGGTTTCAATTCGTCCAAAAACACGATGTCCGAAGTATTGCCGGGTCGCTCATAGGAAGCCCTGGCAACTAAGCTCGTATGCTTCGTCGACATCCATACCGGGTTCGAAGTATTTGCCATGCTTTTGTGCATAAGCCCAGTTCTCATCCGCAAGGTCCTCTGCCTCAGCAAGACTTAAACCCTCTGTATTGAAAGTAGGGCGAGTCATGATCGAGTATTTACCCTTCTTTGCGTCAGCCTCGGCCTTTGCTTTTGCGTATTGCTCCGCGAATCTTTGGGCCTTCTTTTCGGCGAATTCCTCAGCAGATTGTTGATATTGAAGCTGCATTCTCATAATACGTTCCTTTAATTCAGACATAGTCCAATCCCTTGCCAATAGATTAATTGAGTCACACAAACGGAGTTCCGATTTCTTTCGTATATCGTTTATCAGACTGTCATTCCTGAAATCATGTTCGGCATATTTGATGAGATCACCGTAGAATTTGAGAAATGGTTGACTTCCTTGGCTTATTTTGTCGTAAGCATGTTGATAGGTTGTCTTAAGAACGGATAAGGGTACCTCATACACGTTGCTTAAATGGTCTAGAAGATCATCGACTGTAGAGTATGAGCGATATCGTCGTCTGGTAGACACGTGCTGACTGGCTTCCCCTCCAAGTCTCGCTACAACGTAGGCAATTTTGAAAGCATCGGTGGGGAAATGATCACCATTGTGGGTAAGCTTGTCTCGGATTCTCATTTTCCAGTCATCAAATGGTATTGAATTAGTGCCTGTGAAGACAGGTGGATCTGGTAGCCTTGGGCTGAGTGGCTGTCTGATTTGCTGTCGGACTGACTGTGGCGAGATTGGTCGATGTCGATTTGCTCTGAGTGTCTCGAAATCTCGTGGTATGGGTGGTGGTGGGGACGGGGGTGGAAAGGCAGAGATGCCAGCCGAGTTTTGGCCCTGCGTCTCCTCTTGCTGTCCTGGTATCTCCTCTTGATTGGTGTGGGATGGGGACGGTGGCGTCTCCCCTGGCTGACTTGATGTCTCACGATATCGCTGGTAAAGGTCCTCAGCAGATAGAGAACGCTGCACCCGTGGCATGTGGAGTGACGGCGAGTTGGGAGGTGAATATCTTCTATGTAGGTCGTCGTACGTAAGGTAGGGCTGGCCACGGTATGTAGGAGATCGTGGCCTAGAGGAAGAGGAAGCGTTCTCATGACGACGATGTGGTGGGCGATATTTTGGTGTTGATGTAGGTGGGATTGAGTGAGAATTTGAGGAAGTCATGATGTGTTGAATGTAGGTAAGAACGGAGCGGAGAAGATAGGCGTAAAAATGGCGATTTTGGCTGGGCTTCCCCGTCAAGTGTTATGGAGAGATCTCTGGAACTCCGGTACTGTGAAGGCGTGCGCGAGTCGAGAAAGGTGGTAGATCTCTGTGTTGAGTGTTGAATTTTGGCTGTAACACTCGTTTCTTGACCGATCAAGTCGCCGTAAAGACTATGAGTACTCTGAATAGTGTCCTTTCGAATGGTAGGAAGTCCGCCGGGGGTCTGTTGGTTGGTGATAAACTTTTTGCGGGGAACGGAGCGGAGAAGGATTTCTTGTATTCGATGTAGGGGACTCGGTTTTTGATGGATTGGGCTACCGTTGATAATGTAGGTTGTCTGATGTAGGTTCTTTCGAATGATGTAGGTGGTTTGTGATTTGTATGTGTGGTGGGGCTTCTGTATGGTAGAAATACCCAGCGTTTTCTTTATCAGGCTCGGTCGCTTGCTCCGAGCAGAAAGTGAAAAACCCGTTAATTCTCTTCGCCGGGGGGTGTACGAAGGAGCCTTATTATAATGTCAGGACCAGCATAGGTATGATACCAGTATGGGTGAGGTAGAACTAGGATAATAAGGCTACCGAACTATGTATGTGGGAAGGAGGCATGATATGGTAGGGGATGCCTCCGCCAAGGCCCGCTAGCCATAGGGCTGAGTGGTGTGTCAAGGGTACGCTCGTAACATATATAATCTATTATTAATATATAATAACTCGTTATAAAGATAATAATTATCTAATTTTAGCTTAAGATTATTCTTAATTATTTTAAGTAATAACTTTCTCTATCTAGATATCTTTAATTAAATAATTCTTTAAATAATATTATTATAATTATAAGCGTTTTTTATCTAATATAATAACTTAGAAGTATTAATAATAAAGACTTCTCTCGATTCTTCTATAAACTTCTCTTAAGAAGTCTCTATCGAGGTTCTTAATAATAATTCTTTATTAAACTCTTTATTATTAATATTATCTTATTTATTAAATTTATATAATATTATAATTAGAGAGATAATATTTTTTCTTATATTATCTAAAAGTATAATAGTAAGATATATAATATTCTTAATATCTTTATTAAGATTATTATTTTTAAAAATTATATAGTATTAATAATAAGTATAATCGTTATTTTTATTTTTAGATAAATCTTTTACTTATCGAGTAAGGCTATTAAATTTAATACTTTATTTTCTCGAACGATAGATAATATAGAAGTTAAATTTAAAAAAAAACTTCGTCTATCTTACTTAATAGAAGTTAAGTTATTTAAAAAATATAAAATATTATAAATTCTTATAGTCTAAAATAATTTTAATAAAGTTTTTAATAAAGATATTAACTAGTTTAGAATACTATTTCTCGAAGACTTATATTATAATTATAAGTTTCTTATTATAAATATTATAATTATACTCTATAGAAGATATCTTTTTAAAGAGAAATATTATAGATCTAAATACTTTATCTTTATCTTTTTATAATAAAATAATAATAACTATAAAATTAAACGCGTTTATTTCTAATTAAGTCTTTTTATTTAAATTAAAGTAAGTAAGTATAAAGATAGTAGTAAAAGCTTTCTTAAGTATTTTAAAAGCGAGTTATTTAAAATATTTTTAAGTCTATAAATAGATAAAGTCTTTCTTCTATTAAGTATAAGTAAAATTCGTTAGAAATATAGCGATTTTAAAATATCTTATAATAAACTTTTAGTAGAAATTAGCGAATTCTAGAAATATTTATATATCTTTAATATATCTAGATTTTTTCTATTAAGTAATAACCTCAATTTTCTTTATATCTATTTTTATTTCTTTTATTATAATAATTAACTTTAGATATTTAACTTTAATAATATAAAAGTCGTATTTATTAATATTAAAATAGAGATTAACTTATCGAAGTTTCTTTAATATCTTTTCTATATACTAAATATATTTATCTTTAATATTATTATAGATAAAAATATCGTCTAAATAGATAATATAGAATATATCTAGATATTCGCGTAAGATATTATTAATAAATATCTAAAAAGTAATAAAGGTATTATATAATTTAAAAGATATTATTATATATTTAAATAAATTATATTAAGTAAGAAATATGATTTTTTTCTTATAATCCTTTTTTACTCTAATTTCATTAAAAACGACTATAATATCGAATTTACTATATATTTTCGCTATATATAGTTTAATAAGAGTTTCTTTAATTAATAGAGAAGTATTTCAATTAGAAATAATAAGTGTATTAAGAGCTTTATAATTTATATATAATCTAAATTCTTTATTAAGTTTTTTTATAATTAGAACGAGTATTATATAAAGAGAAGTACTTAATCTAATATAGTCTTTCTCTAATATCTTATTAATATATTTTTTTATAATTAATATCTAGTCTTTAAAGAGTCTATAAACTCTTTTCGATAATAGAATAACTTCTTTTTTAAGATATATTTCGCAGTTAATAAAGCGATAAAGAAGAAGTTTATTAATTTTAATAAAATTTTAAATATTTAACTATTTATAATATACTATAGAAATTTATTTCTATAGCTATTTTATAGTTAAAGATTTCTTTCTTAACTTATAAAAGAACTTTTTATAATCTTCTATCGTAATAGCGACGATATTAATAATAAACTTCGCTTTCTTATTAATAAAATTAAAAAGTTATTTGAAATCTTTAGACTATATAATAATAACTTAATTCTTTAATTTTTTAGTTATCTTAATAAAGATATAGATAAAGATCTCTATTATATTCTTTTTCTTAAATATAGTCTTTACTATATAATTTAAATTCTTTCTTAAAAACTTATTATTATTTTGAATAATAATAAATTTGCTATATAATAAATAGTTAAATATATAATAATCTAAATTAAATATAATAGTTTTAAATCTAAAAAATATATAAGAATTATACTATTCTAGCTATAATATTTCTAAAATAATATTAAATTATTTTAATAAGATAATTAAGTATTAAAGCTCTTCTATATAATCTTCTAAAATAAATTTTATTAAGACTATATATATAATATTAGAAATAAAAATAAATTTATTATTAACTAGTTATAATTTATAGAATTATATTAATATTACTTTAAATAGCTTATTTATTTTAATAAAAGATATATTTATAAAGCTTAATATTAAAGCTTCGATATTTAAAAGATAATTAATCTTAATCTATTTTATTAATATAATAATCTTTTTATAAAAGTCTAATTAGCGTTTATTTTATAAAGAGGCTTCGATAATAATAATATACGCGGATAAAGAGATAAAAGCGAGTATTATTTTTATTTCTAACTCTTTAATTTTTATATATAAAACTTTTAAATCTCTAACGACGATTTAGCTAAAAATATTTAATTTTTTAATTTTTATAATAATTCGATAAGAATATTCTTTTTAATATTAACGGCTTTTAGAATTATATTAATTTATTCTTTTATTAATAAATCTATATTTTTATATAAAATACTATTATCGCTAAAATAATATTTAATCTTTAAATACTTAAAATATCTATCTTCTTTTTAAATTCTATCTATTAATAATTTAGAATATTTATATTTTTATATATAGAAATTTTTAATAGTAATATTATTATTTCTTCTAGTAAAGAAAGTATTACGCTAATTATTTAAGGAAATAAATTTTTTATTAATTTTATTAATTTCTTTCTTATTCTTTAGATTTAATATATTATTAATAACTCGAAGATTTATATCTAATACTTATAGAAAAATAATTAATTCTTAAAAAATATTAAAAGATTATCTTAAAATTCGATATTTTAGATATATAAAGATTAATCGTTTTAAGTTAAATATCTTATAGATATTAATAAATCTTAAGAGAGTAATAACTATAGAGAGTTATATATAGAAATTTTTAAATAATTTCTTCTTATCTATTACTCTTATATTAAATTTAGAATTAAATATCTTAATATTTAATTTAATAATCTTATTATATATTTCGAATATATTATCTAATTTATTAATTATTTTTTAAACAATTTAATATAGATCTAAGATATCTTTATTTACTCTTATTTTAATAATATTATATATAGTAAATTTATAATAATCTCATATATAATCGATTTTTTTAAATTTAGTAAAAAAGATTATAGCGCTTTATCTAAATTTCGCTTTAAGATATTAATATTAACTATTTTACTTATTTTAATTATTAATATTATAAAAATTCGAGATATTAAGATATCGTTTATTTAATTCTATATTCTCTACGCGATTCGTAATAAAGATATAGTATAAATTTCGATAAATACTATTAATAAGAATACTTGACTAATAAGATATAATCTTTATATTTTTCTTATTAAAGTTTTTTAAATTAACTAATATATAAGATTATTACTCCTTTAATTATTACTCTTTATACTTTAAATCTTACTTAAATTTCTTATTTTCTTTAATAAATTTTATAATATTAATACGATATCTATTATATAAATCTCGAAGTCTATTATTAATTTCTTATTTATAAAATAATTAATTATTATTATTATTTAACTAAGTAGTAATTATTAATATCTTTATTTTAGTATAAGCAATATTCTAGTTAAGTTCTTTATTTTATTATTAAAGTATCTTAATATTATAATTAGTAGTTCGAAAGCTCTCTATTAAAGTCTTTAATTTATTATATTAAATATTAGAAATATTAATAATACTTTTTATAAAGTTCTACGAGTTAGTAATAAATATAAAGATTATAATTAACTCTTCTTCGATAATATTCGTAAGTTATACTTCGATATAATCTAAACTAAGTTTAATAATATATCTTCTAGAGATAGAATACTTTCTCTTATATCGTAGAAATAATCTAGCTTTACTAATATTTAAAACCTTCTTATCGAAGTTCTTAAGTTTTTCTAAATAATAACGTATTTATAACTTACTTATAA